CAAACAATACTAATGCTCCCTAAAATGAACATTTGGTCTTATAAAACTTTGATCTAACAATTTTTGTAATTTTGCCTTTAACTCTCTAAGTTCAGGAGCAATTTTATATGGGGCTATGAATATAGATACAATACCCGGTAGCAGTTCAATTTTAAATTCTACCTCTCGACCTAGAGGTAAACTTAGTAATTCTTCCGAAATTACATTTGGTTTCTCACAGATAGCCGGGATATCTTCCCACTTAATCTTCAAGGTTTAAGAATTTATCATATTAGATAAGAATGCTTGACAATCTTGTAGTAATAACTTCTTAGCAAGGACTGTTAAAATCACATTAAATAATAGATTTACCCCTTTATTAATCAATATGATCTCGAAACCTTTCGAGTCCTTCAAGATCAATCACTTTAGGCAACAGTTCACTATGACATGGTAAGGAAATAACCAATCCATACCGAAGATTATCTTAAATTCTTCAAAGATAATTCCATCAGATTAGTTAAAAACTCAACTGCTTAAATCTTTAATGAATATTTTCTAAAAATAAAATTCACCTTCTTACTCTATTCTAAAGGATTAGTCACCACTATATAACTTAAGATCGATTCTTACAAGATTCATTTCTCTCAAATTAACCTAGTCCCTATATATGAGTTAATAGAACCAAGATCAATCAATACAAATAAAGGTTTATCATAAAGATAACACATACCTGCAATGATTTTTGGATTATCTTCATATTCAAAAATCTCTGGTCATCTTCGTCTTCTTGAGACAAAGACAAACTTCTCTAGAATACTATCCTCGTTTTTCTCATAAGTAACTATTACCACATCTTAACTTCTTCTTCCTCATATGGCACAGTATTCCTTCCACAAAATGGAGGAAAATCTTTTACAACACTTACCTTTCTAGGACAAAATACTAAAGTTTTTTATGATCGGTTAGGGTCAATTAAAATCTCGATATTCTTGTTAATATTTTTAACTTCCTTATCATTCCTCTTAGCTTCGTTCTAAAGCTCAAAATTGATCATTTGAGATGATCCTTCTACTTCCAACATCTAATACAAACACGAATTCATCTCAACTTATATTAGTAAGAAGTGACATCAATCAAATCATATAAATACCATATCAGTAATATTGACATCCTAGTGGTATGTACAAACTTTTCAATTCAAAACATACTATGTTTAGGCCTAGAATCGGCTAAACCTGCAGCTTTAATACCAATAAATATAACACCCATTTCCCGTATATGTTACCAAATATAAGTCCAAAGTGTTACATGATACTTTTAAAACTTTCCTTATTTGAAAATCAGTAAAATTTTGTTTCTATAAAAATCATTAAATTAAACAATAAAAATCAAAACTACTTAATCTCGTAAAAATGAAAATATATTATTTCAACATCCAAATCAAGTCCATTTTCAGGTAACAACAAGGCAATTCAATATTATTTCATACAAAGAGTGAAACTGCCTAAAAGAAAATTCATTTTAAAACTAGTTTCAAACATATTGATATCATATTTTATTTACTGCAAACCTCATCTACAACTTTCACTTATCATTTAAAATCATGGACATATCAGAGCATCCCATAATATAAAAATACATGCCAACTAGTAATCAAAACAACAGTAGGATGTCATTACCGATTCCAGTACATACATTGATAAGTGATGTCAAACTAAGCTCCTTACTCCACTCGATTTCCTTTACCTAAGCTATAGTATATACTTAGTGAGGCATTATAAAACTAATAATAATAGTAACAATAAAAATAAATCATATATTTAATAAACTATAGAACAAGTATCATAAAATGAAAACATTATATAAAAACATTTAATAAAATCAATCTGATTGATGAAAGTTATTTTCATATAAATATTCACATGTAAGTCAGCAGTTCACACATAAGACATTCTCTCGATGAAAGCTTTGCTTTCAATCAAATCTATCAAACTTGTACATTTCCTTTTCATTCCAATTCACAGCCTAAAGTATAATGAATGAGAATGCATGGTATGTGAGTCACATACGAGTGTACTAGTACAGTTTAATTGCCTTATAAATAAATTGCACTTTTAGTGCCATATAACTCATTTGCACCATAGGTGCCATATGGGTGTACATGTACCGTAGAACACAACATCACTATACCTATATTCAGGAATACATCACACCAACATCATATACATACAGGCACCAATATCACATACGTGTCATAAATGCATCATGCCACTTTGATGTAAACGAATGTACCAATATATGATCAATCAATAAACACTCCACCTCATGGCATGCCAATTGTACCAATAACTCTCAATGCACATACAATGGGCTTTATACTTAAATTCATATACTATTCACATATCAAAGTTTCACAAATATGAATATATCAAAATATCATATAAAAATGCATTGGACAGTTCATACCCGAAATCATTCAAATCTTTTCAATAAAATATTAAGAAAATATCATAATATAAGTCAAATCATTTTTTATTGTCAAACTTTCAAGGTTGGCTCATCACAATCCAAATCATTTAAAAATCATTTAACAAAGCATTATGACAATATATCATAATACGACTCAAAACATTCTTTCAAAACATTCGAGGTTGACTCATCGCAAGTCTTCTTCATATCATATATAAATAAGGTAGAAATGCACTCACTTGGTAATGTCTCACTAATAAATCTTACTTAGTGATTCAAGCTTCACTCCTCAACTTTTTCTTTGCTTTAAGCTTGCTTTGATCTCGATTTTGAACACGATCTACATGTACATCATTTACAAGTCATATTTCTAATTGTGGTCCCTTGCCATTTAACTTCTAATTGTGGTCCCTTGCCATTTAACTTCAAAATGGTCCATTGCTATTTAACTTCAAATCCAAGCATCTAAAAACACAACCAAACAATCTAATAGTATATTTAAACATTACTCATCAACTTCATACCAATTTCCATTTCAAACTCATATTTTCTTCTTTATATGATTTGGTCCCTTAACTTTATAAGCTTTCAAATTGGTCAAAACAACTTTATAAAGTTTACATAATCATTCATTCATCATTTCTAACCTTAGGGAAATTTTACATTTTTCCTTAATTTCTTCTCTTGATAGAATGATATATGGTATTTTTAACATGATTCTCACTTTGATTCAAGTATGAGTTCAAGCTCCTATAATTAATTCCATGTAATTCCAACCAATTCCATATCAATTTCAATTCAAACTCCCAATTTTAACATAAACCCTAAGTGACTGAATTCAACATAAGCATTTCCAAGTGATTTCAATCATCATACAAGCATTGAAATGATTCTCCAACATCAGCTACATCATAATCCATCCTTAAAACATAAAAACCAAACATCCCCTTCATCCATTCAATTCAAGAACTTAAGGTTTTAAGCATGAAAAACATGAACCAAATGTACCAAATGATAGAAAATTTCATGGAAATCAATTTTGTATTTCATGTTTTCATCCAAATTCCTAATAAATTGGCTTGAAAAATCAAAAAGAAAATTTCTTACCTTGGACATTCATAGCCAAGCTTGGAAAAGCAATTCTCTTGAAAATTCTTCATCTTTCTTTACTTAATAAATGAATTTTTAATTCATTTAATGCCTAATTACTAATTTACTCTTAAAATTTCATCATCCTTACCATTTTACCCTTTGAATTTCATAAATTACTAAATTAGCATGCTTTCATCATCCCTTACATCATCATAGTCAAACATGAGCAACTAATTTCTCATCTTCTAATCTTGTCCTTGCAATTTTCCAAAAATTACAATCTTGCCATTTTTCATCCAACGACTTAGATTTAACATGGAAAATCAACTAAAATTCAATGATCCATGATATTTTTAATCTTGTCTTATCATCCTACAAAATATCTCAAAAATATGATTCGATCTAATTATCCAAATTTTTCCCAAACTTTATCATTTTATAGTTTTTAATACAAAATCTGTACGAAAAATCTGAAACCCACATAAACATCATTCTTGGGGGTAAACTATCCATTTACGGGACCATATTACATAACTTTTTAAAACTACACTTTGGACCCTAAACCTTTCCCGAGTTTATACTTTGGCCACTAAACTTTCAATTTATTGATTTTGGTCACTAGCAAAATTTTGGGTATTACAAATAAAATATTTATTTTTATTTAATAAATTTTTTTGTAGCTCTCTTGATGATTTTAATCATACAAAACATTCATGGGATGCTCCTCACTTAGTGTCAATGAGATCAACACATATTTTTTATGGGATCAATACATTGGTAAATAAATGAGTTTAGTTAATCTCAACTATTTATTTTTACTCATCCAACTGTCTTAAATCTATATAAAACTAAAAGAATGTTATATTATGTAATAGAATCCTATCTCTTATAATATTATACATTATTAAGTTTTATCATACTCACATACATATGAAATAAATTATTTTATATAAAAGTATTTTAAAAAATTACACTTAAGAATAATATTTAGTGTCGACTGTTCAACTTTTAATTAAATCCAACGATAAATGACAGTTTATGAACGACATATCAAAAACTTATTTTTAAAAAATAATAATAAAATGTTAAAAAAATTATTTAAGATAGCAAAAGTAAGTTCTGGATTTTGGTTATATATAAAAAAAACAAAGCAATAGTTTAGTGTTAATAACATATAACAAATAAAAAATTCAATTAAAGTTAAAATTATTCAAATTAAATATTAAAATATTTGTATTCAACTTTTTTTTAATAATTTAAACTATTTGAGCTGAAGTCAAAATCAATTTAATTAAAAAAATAATTAATTTGAATTCGTATAATTTGTGATTTTTTTACCAGTAGGTTGTAATGATTAAGTGTATTACTTACATCCGATATCAATGTGCCTATGCTCTCTCCTTGGATAAAATGAAATTGGAATTTAGAGGAGCGGGCAGGCGGAGTAAAGTTTGCTCGTTAGTGAAGCAATCTAATCTCCTCCTTCAAAGACGCAAACTCTTTCTCTTCCCTTTCCTCTTCACTGCTAAGCAGCTCTTCTTTCTTCATAAACAGCCAAAGCAATGCCTAGAACGAATCAAAGTTCGAGCAGCACCAAAGCAGCTGCCTTCTTTTCCGCAACTCTGCTTCTCTGGGCAATCTCTGTTTTCTTCGAAATCGTCTTCAACAAGCGGACAGAGCTCATTTACATAGTTGCAGGAGTTTGTTTTTACCAATTAGCGAATTGGATCATTAGATTCTGTGTCTCCCGTGACCCTCTCTTTGTTAACACCTCCGTTTCTCTCCTTCACTCTGCAATAACTTCCACTTCAGGTTCCCATCATTTCCCTTTTGTTTTCTTTCACTTTTGACTTTTGATTGGATGTTTCTAGTTTGGGTATTGGTTTCCTTCATTCTTTGAATTGTGTGTTTTTATGTTTTGGGTAGCTGATCCTACCTTCATTTGTTGGCAGAGATTTTAGGGTTAATTGTTTTTAGCTTTTAATGCTTTTTTAGAAGGTCCAAACAACTGTACTGTTTGAGTTTGCTTAGCTAATTTGAAGCAATTTGTTTAATTTTGCATAGGAATGTATTGCCAAGAACATCACTTCAAGATTAGGCCTGAAACTGTTGAATTAGTTAGATCAGTGTTAAGGGTATGGTATTGGTTGGTCCTTGCTCATAACCAAAAATAGTTGTTACCTGATGAATAGTCATGCATATAGTACTAAATTGAGGTTGCGGTCATGGTGCACTATTGCAGACGTTACAATCTGATCTGTTTCCTAAAAATAATTATGTTTCTAAAATGCGGATGCTGTTGTGTTGTCACAATGACCTTGAAGAACGTTACAATTCGGCCGTTACGCTGCATTGCGACCGTAATTTAGTACTACTCGTGCATTATGTTTATATGCCGAGTAAGGAGCAGGTTTCATAACATCTTTGATGAGTAAGCTATCCCTATCTTAATTGGGCTTGGGTGTGAGTGTCGAGTGTATTGAGTATAGATATGTGGGTATGGTAGTATCTCTATATCATGTGTTTGGACGATGCTTAGAGGTCGTATCTCCGTATCAATGTGTCAGACACGAGTACTCCAACAAAAATGAAGTCCTTAACATAATCTTCTTTCACATGGTTGATTTTTGAATCAGTTCATACTTCCCAATTATCGTAGTTCACTATTAAGTGGGTTGAAAGCACTCATTGTGTGTTGGTAAAAGATTCTATCGAATGCTTGTACATTGTGGTAATCCTTTTGTTTCCGAGCAGTTTTGTTTGTTGATTATGTTACTTTTTTTTTTCTCTCGACTTCCTTAAGTTCCGATGTTCTGCAGTGATTTTCATTCTGGTTAATCAATGGTCCGTAACTGGTTTCAAGAGGATGTTTGAGCATAAGCAACTTGTCGAGGGTACTTGGCCATGGGCATACCAGGCTCTGTGCTTCTCGTGTGGTTACTTTGCATACGATCAGCGAGATATGCTGCAATACCGACTATATAGTGGCTTTATCCCTTCTATTTTAATGCATCATCTACTACTACTCATTTGCTTCACCCTTGCATTGTATCGACATATAAGAATAAACTACCTTATTCTCACTCTCATTTGCGAGGTATGTTTCAATTCCTTTTCTGTTAAAAAGTTGCAAGTATTATGACTTAATTCTGTGTTGCTTGGATTCTTCATTTTTCTTGGAGTATCCAAATCCGAAACTCATGTCCGACACATGAATATGAGCATATGAGCTCCAAAGATCCTCCAAACACACGGAAAAACTAGTAATATCCAACTATACTTATATATCAATTACATGTCCGTGTCTGGCATTCACACCTTAATCTGAGTCTTGCTATTTGCGATTAAGTAATTAAATTTTAACCTAAGCACGCTATGTAATTGGATTACGAAAACGGTCAAAATTCGGTGCATGATCGATAGACTGACATTCGTCGGTGAGACCTGCGTCTTATTGTTAGATATATCTTGTTAGGACAGCTTAAATTTGGCTTTCCACGTATGTCCCAGGTAACATAGGTTGCTCATGAGGTATGAGGTGTGCTTCATTTTTATACCGATGTTTATGATGCATGAAAATGACGACCAAAATCGTATTTTCACCCCAAAAAAATGTAAATGCACTATTACTTCATTGTAAGATTGAGCTCGGAGATTTGGAAACGTTTTAGGTTTTATTAATTGCAAGCTTGTTGATGCTGTTGTAGATTGCTGAGAGGTTAAATTTTTGTTCCGATGTCGCAGCTGCATTCCGTATTTCTGCATGTGAGGAAAGTGAGGCGGATGGCCGGCGTTCGTGATGCCGAGAGCACAGTCGTGAAGGTAGAATGGATTCTTAACTGGATCATGTTCGTTTTCGCGAGACTTGTATCACACATTCTGATAACAGGAAAGCTAATCAAAGATGCTTCCATGTTCGAAAAGGGTATCGAATGACCTCTTGCTATGCTCGGGATGGCCGGAATGAATTTGCTTAACGCATTTCTGGGCATCGACCTCTTCAATGCTTTCATGAAAGAGAAAACCTCATAGGTATGATCCGAAACGCCACGAGTAACAGAAAGACTTGGCTGAATCTTAAAGCGATAAAAGAAAATTATTAATTTCATACAGGAAATTCATTTTCTGTTCAGGATGTACAATCACTGTAAATTTATGTTTTTGGTTTAATAATTATACACAAGCCATGTTTAATGCAAATATAATTGGGGACCACAGTAGATATATCGATTCGGATATTGTAGATATTCAATTAATATTTTTATTTTGAATATTAATTTTTATTTAATGGGTCTCATTAAAGTATATACAATTATACTTTAATTAAACATATATAAAAAATTATAATTCTTATAATTATAAAAATAACATTATTATATGATAATTATATTTTTAATTCTTTTGTGAGGAGGTTTTGAATTGATCGATACTGTAAATTTAATATTAAAATTAAAAATTTGAATATATATTATCTTGTATTTATCTTAATTAATAAAAATTCAGATTTAAAAACTGAATATAATAATAGAAATTATCCGTTCTCGGTATTGATCGTCATCTTTGAAACTTTATTTAATTTTATTGCCGACCATGGTCCAAGCCTTTACGACATCAATCGAAGATAGTATATCTATTACTACCTTGTTAACATTACAACGATGACACGTGTAAAAACAAATAAAGAAATGATTTACATGAATTAATTTTTTTGGGTGAATTAAGTATTTAGTCACTAAACTATCACTTGGATTCTAATTTGGTCACTCAACTATTCTTTTATAAAATCATCACTAATATTACAATTTAGTTTCATTTTGGTTACCCACTGTTAAAAAATTAACGATGATATTGACATGCCACTATAAGATAATACCATTTCCTCATTAAAAAATGTCACGTAAGTAGTTTTGTTAATTTTTAACTGTAGGTGACCAAAATGAAATCAAAACATAACTTAGTGGTGATTTTAAAGAAAAAAAATAGTTGAATGACCAAAATGAAACCAAAGTAATAGTTTGATGACTACATACATAGTTTAGCCAAAATTTATCATTATATAATTTATTTTTAGATTAATATTTTTATTAAAATATTATTAGTTCGTCTAGTAAGATAAGATAATAAATTGTTCAATTTCAGTATAGTAAATAGAACAAAAAAATTTAAAAGAGCCATGTTCAAGATTAAAATTTTATCGTTTTGAACGAAACAAACTAGATTAAGAAAGCTAGGCCTAAATTTTATCGTTTAAGAAAGGTAGACCCTGGACCAAATAGGTACCTTGCAAAGTTTTTCCAGATGTCATGAAGATTTGTTGGTGAGGATTTCTTGAAAGCAGTGCAATATTTCTTTTTGCATAGTTATCTTCCTGACTCGTTTAATTCGACTATCATTACTTTGGTGCCTAAAAGTCCCTGCTCCGAATCATGCTATTGATTTTAGGTCTATTTCTTGTTGTAACACTGTGTATAATGCATTACTAAGATTATGGCAAATAGATTGAAGCAGTAGTTGCTATTTATTATTCTTCCTAATCAGAGTATTTTTTTTGACTGGTAGAGATATTGTGGAAAATGTTCTGCTAGCTCAAGAAATTATGTATGGTTATGGGAGGAAATGTTTGTCACCTAGGTGTGCTTTGAAGATTGATTTAAGGAAAGCCTTTGATTCTATCAGTTAGAGTTTTAATCTTCAGGTTTTAAGTGTGTTGGATATCCTGGAACAGTTTAGGGGTGGATTAGTGCTTGTATAACTAGGTTTAAGTTCTCGGTGGGGTTAGATGGAGGATTGATTGGATATTTTTCAGGGGTTAATGGAGGATTGGTTGGATAGTTTACCAAAGGTAATATATCTTCTGCTTTTACAGTTCAGGAGATTTTGGAAGTATTTCGCAAGATGTCTGGGCTATAGACGAACACTTCAAAAAGTGAGTTATTCTGTTCCGGAGTGGAGGATAATGATGTTTAAATGTTAATAGGGTTGTCGGGGTTTCGAATTGGCTCATTACCTGTGAGATATTTGGGTGTGCCCCTTGTAACTAAGAATCTATCATTTGCTGACTGTGGGGGGTTTGGTAAAAAAAATTGTGAAAAGAATTAGAAATTGGTCTGCAAAATACCTATTGTTTGCTGATAAGTTACAACTTATTCAGGTAGTTCTCTTTATCATACAAAACTTTTAGAGTAGGATGTTTTTGTTACCTTCAAAGGTTATAAAACAGGTTATAAAAGTTTGCACTGCATTTCTTTGAAAAGGGAATGATGATTCTACCCGAGGAGTTGGAGTAAGTTGAGAGATGATTCGTTATCTTAAGCGTGAAGGAGGGTTGGGGCTAAAGAACATTTTAGTTTGGAATAAAACATGTATGATGAAGTATTTGTGGCTAATCTTATCTCAATCTAGTTCGCTTTGGGTAGCATGGGTGGAGAAATATATGTTGAATGGTTGCTCTATTTGACAATTTCAAGCTAAGGCTAGTCATAGTTGGGCTTGGAAAAAACTAATAAAGCTTAGAGATGATTTGGCTCTTGTTGGTAATTTGCAGGAGAAGTATAAAGCGAGACAGGCTTGGGAGATTTTTAGGCACAAACATGATAGGGTGTCTTGGTTCAGAGTTGTTTGGGAAGGACCGACCATCCCTCGACACTCATTTATTTCTTGGTTGGCGGTATTAGGTAGACCGCTAACAAAAAGTAGAATGATATGATAGGGCTGCCAGGTGGATCCTTGATGTTTGTTATGTGATGATGCTTTAGAGACACGTGATCACTCATTTATCGAGTAGGGTTATATACATCAAGTTTGGCAGTTGGTCTTGCATGCTTGCGGGCATGGGGTCTTCACAATTGTTGGTTGGAATTGATTAATTGGCTGCAAAAGTTTGGCAAGTGAAAATCGTTGCATGATACTATTGTTCTTTTAATTACTACATTTTGCAAGAAAGGAATAATAGGCAGAGAAAATAATCTCAGTGATTAAAAATCTCAGATATTATACGATTTTGATCAATATTTTTTTGATTTGCGAAAATGACCAACAAAATCGCAATGCGATCTCTAATTCGTATTGTGATCTCCACTATCGCAAATTCGTGTTGCATTTCGCGTTGCGATAATTGAAAATCGCGTTGCGATAGTTAAAAATCGTAACGATTTTCCAGTTCGCGTTGCGATAGTTGAAATCCGCGTTGCGATTTTCCAGTTCGCATTGCGATAGTCTACAGTTGTCGTTGCGATTTTCCAAATTCGTTGTGATAGTTTAAAAAAAAAGATTTTGTTTCTTAAGAATTTTCTCTAAAAAGATAATATCCGCGCGGACGACCACGACCACGACCACGACCCCGACACGAGACGAGACGAGACGAGACGGCGGCGCGCGAGAGTCCCCTTTGTTCTCTATCACTCAACAAGGAAGCGGGAAAGCCAAGCCTTAAATACCATTCTCAATAGTGTTTCCAATACTATGTGGGATTGAGCATTACCAACACTTGTTTCCAATACAATGTGATTATTCAGGAAACAATTAACAATCATGCACCTTAAAACAACTGAATCAACAACCAATTGCATTAGTATTATACGATTAAATATGTCATAATTAAAAGTCAATATACAATCAATCGTGATTATTGCAATTTTAAGCAAAACATTAAAAAATAATATCACTATTTAAGGCTCAATTCCACATAGTATTGGGAACAAGTGTTGGTAATGCTCAAATCCCACATAGTATTGGAAACACTATTGTGAATGGTATTTAAGGCTTGGCTTTCCCACTTTCTTGTTGAGTGATAGAGAACAAGGGGGACTCTCGCGCGCCGCCGCCGCCGCCGTCCATCTCGTCTCGTCTCGTCTCGGGTCGGGTCGGGTCGGGTCGGGTCGTGGTCGTGGTCATACGTGTCTTCGACACGTCCGCGCGGATACTATCTTAAACAAAATCTTTTTTTTAAACTATCGCAACGCGAATTTGCGATAGTGGAGATCGCAATGCGAATTAAAGATCGCATTACGATTTTGTTGGTCATTTTCGTAAATCCAAAAAAAGTTGATCAAAATCGTATATTATCTGAGATTTTTGGTCACTGAGGTTATTTTCTCTAATTGGCAACATGAAAAGAGGGCTCGTCAGGTTGCTGTTATTTTTTCCCAAATCAAAGAAGATACTCGTATGAGACTGGTTGGAAATAAAAAGATTTCTAGTCTTAATTCTTTATTAGCTGCTTAATGGGCCTTTTAGTCTTTTGGTGTTGTTTTGTTTGATGTTTTTTTGTACAGTTATTTTTGGTTGTATTGTTTATTTGATTTTGAGGTTCTTTTTGGATGAATAAACAAGATTTATCCACAAAAATATATTAAGAAATATATTAAATCTCTACAATTCATAATTTGAATTAGTATATAATCTATTTTTATATGATTTTGAATCTTATCGTACCATAATTAGACAAATCAATGGAATAAATAATATGTCCAAGGGATCTTTTAATAAAAATAGAAAGAAAAAAATATTTGTGATATTTTTGTCAAAAATAATAATTTAGGTGCCCAAATTATACTCAAAGTTAACTTTAGGTGTTTAAATAATTTTTCGTTAAAAATATGTGCATAATATTTTTATGTTACACTTTTAGGTGTCATAACTATAACAAACACTAAATTCGACCGTTAAGTGACACATGTCAGACTTATTAAATTATATTTTAAAAAAACTTAAAATTATTATTTAAAAAAACCAATATTTTTTGAAATTATAAAAAAATTATGAGAAACCCTAATTTCAATCCCCTTAAACCTAATCTTCTCCTACTATAATCCTCACTACTATCACCGTCGTCGCTGTTGGTGTCATCGACCAAAGGCCAAATGCAGCATAAACCCTTCGATGTCCACATAGCGATCACACCCTCCCCGACCATTCATGTAATAATCTCTAATTAGGGGTGTAAAAAGCTGATCCGACCTGTAAAACTGATTGAAATCGACTGAGTCAAAACTGTTTTTGACCTACGCTGTGGCGATCTGAAACCGACTCGAGCCGGAACTGGTGTTGACCTGAACCCAAGTTGGACCTAGAAATAGTGGAT